CTTCATAAAGAATAAAAATAAGTGTAATTCCCAAAGTGTTGTGTTTAACAACAAGAGAAGCAAAGCAGTGATGTTGAGGGAAGAACATGAACAAGGGCCTAAAACTGCATCGTTGAGAGTCTGTAGCTGGATATCTTCCTTGATCACTCTCTCTGTCTCACACACACACACACACACACACACACACACACACACACACACACACCCTCTGTGCAGTGCAGTTTCTGCATCTATTCTTGGGTCTGTTATACTGCAGTGTGGTGCACAGAGACATCTAAGGGCCAAAAGAGAGAAGTACAGGAGACCAAAACACTGCAGTCTTTCTTCCTCTCTTCTCCTTTGTTTCCTCCCTGCTCCTTCGCAGCAAAGAAGCCACCTTGGGCTCCCTATGGGTTTAGTGTCGGCATTGTGGGCAGGGGCAGCTCACACATATCCACCATCTGTGGGTACAGGCCCTTTGCAGTTAAGCCCTTAGAGGCCCCATAGCCCTTCTCCCTTTTGTGAATTATCTGTGGGCACCCCACATTTAGGCTTGCAGTTACCCCACACTCAAGGTAACTACTTACAGGTAGTTAACTTGAGGTACAGTAAAAAAGCTGTTTCTTAACCTGTGTTCTTCTCCGTACTTGTGTTCTTGCAGACTTGTGAAACGTCTTGTGAAGTCACAGCCGGAATACTGTTCCAATTTCGGTCCAGTCCCAGTCTGGATCTAGACAAGTACAGTCCAAATGCTCAGATGTGTTCTGGTCCATTTTAACTAGGATGCATTCGGACGTGACTTGTGTGGATTTGAGACAGCCAAGTATCCCAGAATAAGTTTTGATATTTTTCAGGTGAGAAAATAACTATTTATATTCTTAATATGTGGTCAGTTTATCCAAATAACGCCTGTTTGGAAATTTGCTCTGGCATTTTCGGAAATGTGAGGATTCACCTGCACTGACAGACTCGCGGTCATCTCAGCACCTCATTGCCCAGCTCCTGACCAGTGGTCAGTGTCATCCTGTTAGAAAAAGTGTTGGCTCTGTTGTCTGTAGCGTTTTGATGAAATTCTTTTTGAATGAAAATGAAATGAAAATGAGCAGAGGCAGTGTGGTTCATATTAAATTTTATTAGATTTTTAATATGCATTACAGATTGGATATAAAGTGTGTCTTTAACTACACTCACTGTCAATCCAGTTTGTTTTTTCCTGAGAAGTTGTGTTTGTGGACCTTTTATTTAAGTTTTCTTTTGTCACAGAACTCTGTATTGAGAAATGGCTAATAGCAACAACAAATGGCAGCAGCAAGTGTGGTGGCAGCAACAGATCTGCAACAACCTGTTGAAATAAAAACAGTCTCAGGCTGGTGTATGGAGATACTTTGTGTTTGAGGTGGATCAGCTGGGACATGTTAGACAAGCAGAAACCAGTGAGCACACATTATCACAGAGTTTTAAATGAAAGGAGACTGATCTTAGCAGCTTCAGTCGTTAACTTTATATGAACAAAACGTTGTTGTTGTGTTATTATTTGTGAACTGCAACAGCTGACATCTGTTGTTGCCAAGCTCCACACACAACGTTCACGAAGGCTTATGTTAGGTTGGTTTGACTAAAGTTAGCTTATTTGGGCTAACGAGTTTAGGCTTATAACATGAGCTGGATGCTCACAACATTAGTAGGCTACCTTCAGTACTATTTGGTCTGCCAGGTACATTCTTGGTAAATCTAACTTCTTTACTCTTAAGGTTTCTTTTCTGAGCAGACTAAATTATTTCAAAAAGTAAAACACTGTTGAATATGTTTATATCCATCTGTTTCTCCTCCTGAAGTGTCATATATCCTTTTGCACTAATCTCTTGGAAAGCTTTCCAGTTTGCATTTGCCAATTTACGTTTAGGAATTCAGGAATTTTGTTTACCTTATCACAGAAAATCTGTGTGCCAATTTTAGTAACTACTGGCCAGAGGTGGGAGTAAGTCACACATGTATATGTTACATGTAGCGGACCTACCTAGTCTAGCATCAGTCACAAGCCATTAAAGAAGTTCATTGTAAGGGCATGTAGAGGTATGGATCCAAAATTGACACTTTGTTACACTTCCCACCATCAAACTATCAAATTGATAGGAAACAGAAATAAAGGACTCTTCTCTTTCACAAACAGATGAGTTAGTATGCCACAGAGACTCCAGAGGATCAACGAATGGAGGCCAGGCAAACTCTCCAATTCGTAACAATAAGGTTCTGTCTATTTGAGATTTGATTGTTTCTTACATAAGAAATGTAACACCGAAAGGACTTTCTATCACTAAGGTGTGAATCCTGGACTCTCTGTGCCATGCATGAATACACACACACATCAACCTCCCTTCCTCTGTAACTCTTAGATAACCATGTCATAAACTACAACCCACATTCCAATCCTGAGCAGTGACCAGCAGAACAGTCTTCACAGACACAGATCTCAGGAAGAATATACAATTAAATATCTAACTGTTCTGTAACTCATGTGATGCTCCTATGTAATAGGTAAATCCAAAACTTTTATCCTATAGAATGCTTGAAATGTGACATGAAGACTTCAAGACAATGTCTTTCGTGTGACCATACTGTCAGCAACTGCCGTGAATCCCATATTCACTTACTTTTAGCTTTAGGGAATATTTAATATGTTATTTGATCAGTTAACCACTTTTGACCAATTAACCATTATTTTGATTAATTTCAGATTTTGAAATCCACATTTGTATTATTCCTTCCTGTCATTATTAGTGACATTAGGTTTATATGTTGTTTTATTTAATGTTTTATGGTCATGGTGGAAGACAGATGTGCGGGTTTTATAGGTAAAATCTAGAATTAAACAATTCAAAAGTTCAGTGTAAAATTGCCCTCTTCTCCAAGTTGAAACAAAGGAGAAGATGGGTGACTCCCCTGAAACGTGCGCTGGACCCCAGGGGATAAAACAGTTGTCATGATTTCACACATTGCTCTAAGTCATAGGCTCTTAGCTCCTTGCTCTTAGCCATAGCTTTTAGCCACAGCTCTTAGCCACTGACACTGACAGAATCCCTCACCGTGATAACGGGACACAACCTCCAGGAAAATCCAACTAGGTCCTGCGTCTCTAGGGTAACCACAGCAACCTCAGCCACATGTACTCCACTAAAGGGTCTCCAGCTACTCACAGTAGGTCGGTCTTAACATTCTGCTCATGATTGGGTTGATGTTGAAATATAACAATATTTAATCACCAAATCTCATTCGGTAGATCTTGTAGTTGTATAGCCATAGTTTATAGCCATAATATATTCTCTCCCACTATTGCCAACTCATCACACAGTTCATTCCATTATTGTATTATCTTGATGATTATTAAACATTGCATTTACTCTGTAGATAGTAGTCTAGTTAATAAACTTCTTTATTTACACTCAGTCGTTGCCCACTTGTTTTCTTTTGAAGTAGAGACTGGAGATCCATTGAATTGAGAAGCCACGGCTCCTGATATGAGAATGATCACATTAATCAATTAAGTAATTCAATGTTGTCCTCCCTGAGGACTGGTCCCCCCTTTCAACTAAAGCAAATTCTAAATTGTGGTATTCACGCTACATACAAGCATTAAGTATGATGGTCACTCCCTACTGTAGTATGTTTGATCACACTCCATTTTGTCAGGGTTTGTGGTAAGTAGTACCCAAATGCAACCAACACAAGGGAATTGTGCAAAATGTTTTAATAACAAAAGGGTGCCTACTTACAAACAAGGAATCAACTGAACAGAAGCTGAAGCACAGGGAAACACAGGGGATACAACAGCAGGTAAAACCAAGGACACTTGCAGAAGATATGAACAGACCGAGGACAAACCAGACATGAACAGGCAATATTGAACAGACTGAGGACAAACCAGACATGAACAAACAAACCGGAGCACAGAAACTATATAGACACAAGGGAGGCAAGGGTGATTGAACACAGGTGAAACACATTAGGGCGGGGCAGACAATCAACACACAGAGAAATGGTACCAAGACAGGAAGTAAAAACATTGAGACACACAAGGAAACCAACTACAAAATACAACAGGAAGTGACAAAATCCAAACAAACTCAAACAGAAAGTGTCTGCCATGGCAAACCATGACACATTTGCTGATACAAAAGTCAGGTCAAGTGCTGTGTTGTGTGTGCTATTATATTGTGTTCCTTCCCTATTATTAATGCACACCAAACAGTGATCATCAATAAATTCTTCACCAACTAATCCATTTGCATCAGTGCTATTGCTTCCTCATAATGAATTATGTTAAATGAAATCCTCACACCATATTACACTATCTTGCAGTGTTTGCCCAACATCCTCTTAAATACTCAGATTATTTTTCCCACATGAATTATAATTGTTAATTTTATCTATTTTAACTCTTTAAATTCAGATCTTATTCATTCATTCATGATCTTTGTCTACCTCCACAACCTGTATCTCATTTTACTATTTTGCTGTCGTTAGATACCGCTGTCTTGTCACTTATTTTATGCATTCTGAGTGCTCTCCCTTGCTGTCCTCCATCCTTACACATAACCAAAAATGGTCCTTCTCATAACTGTAGCTCTCCTTACCAGTTTCTTTGTTCACGTATTTAGTTAGCTGAATTACATTCCAGTTACTGAAAGCTCCCCTTTCATGAAAGTTTAACAATTCCGTTGTAATCTCCTCACATCTTTTCCACTATACTTGCTTCCATGTTGCAATCTCTTACATGCGATTTGTTCTTAGGTATCTATTTAATTAAAGGTATCACAATTTACCAGTATTGATGATAACCCAACTATTAAAAAGTATATATGTATATATATATATACATATATTATATATGATAACGTTGTTCCAGTAACTGTTGTCAATAAGACAGAGGAAACATCATGCGACGGTCATGGGCATATATGCAACATGAGTCATGGTTTCTACACGGACGTATTTCACTTCCGGACAATTCACTCGCGACCAGACTCCAATCAGCATCGCTTTTCGTGTCTGTGTCTCTTAGTTCGTGGCGTTTATTGATTTGTGGGGTTTTTTTCATTTGGAAAAAGCTGCTGACTTCACTGTGTGTCTTTCATCAGCTTCTGCTTTCATCGCTGGGTTTTATTTGACACAGGCGGGATGCAGAGTTTTTGAGACTTTCTCTGGGAGTTTTTTTAAGAGTTGTTTTTTTTTTTTTTTTAAACCATGGCGTGTGGCGGAAACGGCATGTCCGGTAAGTTTGATGAGGCTCCCTCTTCAACTCATAGTTGAAATCAAATTAAAGAAATACTGTAAAGGATACACTGTGACAACATCAATGTAGAGAGCCCTTGGTTTTAATTCTGTCAATAATGCAACATTTTCAAAGTGTTTTATTTACGATGATGTTGGTTGAATTTCTCCACAGATGAGAGGATAGGGGAAGCACTGATCAAGGAGTAAGTTTCCATAATTGTCATTTTTAAATTGTTTTACTCAGTGACATTGTATAAATGAATGAAAAATCAAACAGCCCAAAACTATCATCATTGTTTTAAAACTCAAGTCTTTATTGTACTTAATATTATGGGCTGCAACCGATGCATATTTTCATTATCGATTCATTTCAAGTTAATCCATTAATCATTCAGTCTAAAAATGTACAGAAATCATCATCACAAGTTTCCAGAGCACCAAGACCCATCAAAACCCATCATCTTACAACAATAATAAACTAAACAGTTAGTCAACTAACCCAACTCTGCAGCCTTAGTTTAGTTTCATTTTCATTTCACCATAACAGCTCTTACCATCTTCCAGTAAAACACACCTCTCATCAGCTATGTTGTATGAGTCATAATGACTCATATAGGTAAGACAATAAATGGAAAAAGTCACTGAACTTTGTGAAGCTGGGTGTGCCAGCATCATTGATTTCTTGTCATCTTAAAAATGGCAACAGCTAAAATTAGCTTCATCACCTTTTACTGTTTTCTGCATAACATGTCTGTAGGTTTAAAACAAATTTGGGCCTTTCATGCTCAGACGTATGTTGTTTTTTGGGTTGTCCATCCCTCCGTCCCATTCTTGTGGACATGATATCTCAGTAACACTTTGAAGGAACTTCTTCAAATTTGGCACAAACATTCACATGGACTCAAGGATTAGATTTCACACAAATGGTTCATAATTTATATGACTCTGGATCAACAGGGATGTAACCTGAAACTAGTCTGAGTGGAAGAAGCAGACAACCACAAGGAGGTAATTCTATTTTTTTTTAGGTTTCAGGGGCAGGTCAGTGAGTTTATACTGAACGACTAAATTAGTCAGAAAGGTCAGCATGCAAAATGAAAATTATTGAAACTATTTTTTTAAGTGAACTGTTGATGGTGATGGTCCCACAGTGCACACAAAGGAAATAGAGGAGATATAATGTGAATCTTTTGTAAGACTATGTTTATGGCTGCTGTGACGAGTCACCATAATCGACATGTTGACGTCAATATTTTAAGTCAACGCTTCATTTCCCATACATTGATTTATTAACTGCCATATATTTGTTTTCTATTTTATCATTAATGGTTGCACTGCTTCTCTGTTTCTGCTCTCTGGGTGAGCCAGGGCTGCATACTAAGTACACACACACACTCACTCCGATCAGCCATAACAATATGACCACTGACAGGTGAAGTGAATAACTAACTAATAATAATTAATTATCTCGTTACAATGACACCTGTCAGTGGGGGTGGGGGGTATATTAGGCAGCAAGTGAACATCTTATCCTCAAAGTTGATGTGTTGGAAAGAGCAAAATGGGCAGCATAAGGATCTGAGCCACTTTGACGGGCCAAAGTGCGATGGCTAGATGACTGGTTTAGGGCATCTCCAAAACTGCAGGTCTTGTTGGGTGTTCCTGGTCTGCAGTGGTTAGTACCTACCGAAAGTGGTCTAAGGAAGGACAACTGGTGAACCGGCAACAGGGTCATGGGCGCCCAAGGCTCATTGATGTGCATGGGGTGTGAAGGATAGCCAGTATTGTCCAATCCCACTGTTGTATCCTTGGTTCAGTTCATGATTGATGTTCAAGTGGGATTGGGTATATACAGGATTCAGTTGTGTGATATGTGGTGTGTTGCAGTGTGAGACCACGGGGTGGCGCTCATTCATTTGCATGTTAGTAAAACAAGAGATCTTCCCGGGCAGTTAGTAGCCGATGTGAGTTAGTAGCCGATGTGATTAAGTTAGCCGATGTGATGTATCATGGATGCATGTTTTCGTCAGTAAAAACCCTGGAACGACATTGAGGAGTCCTGCTTCATTTTTATAGAAGTTACAGCTAAGTTCCCACATTTTTTGGTGCCGAAACCCGGGACACGGGAGACGAAAGAGTGACGACGGAACAGTTAGCCGATAGCTGCAACTAGCCGAGCAACGGCAGGAACCGGGACAATGACGGAACGGCTACAGAGGCTAAAACAAAGGCGAGGTATTGTGAGAGCCTCGACGACGAAGCTGATACGGGCTATCGAAGATGAGTCATCTAATGAGGATGTGAGTTGGGAACGCATACGAGAGCTGCTGTCCATGTTATCGGTGAAGGAAGCGAGTCTCCTGGAGCTGGAAAAGGAGATAGAAGAGGAGATACCGATGGACGAGCTCGAGGCGGATATCGTCAAGGTTGTGGATTACCAGGACAACCTCACCCTCTGTAAGACTCGAGCTATGAGAATGATTGAAAGACAAGGAGCCGCCGCGGGCGGAGGGATGTCGCCGCGGCTGAGCGACGTGGGCGCCCACTCGAGCAGAATGACCAGCAGACCATCGGTAAAGTTGCCCAAGTTGTACATCAATAAATATGGCGGAGATATATCGATGTGGCAAGAATTCTGGGACCAGTTTCAGACTGCAATCCACGAGAATGGTGAGTTAAGCAAAACTGAAAAGCTCACTTACCTGAAGTCATATTTGGTGGGTCCAGCAGCCAGAGCCATCGCGGGGTTAAAGATAACGGAGAGCAACTACGACGCTGCAATAGACATGCTCAAAGAGAGATTTGGAAGAAAGGACCTGATCGTGAGTTCACACATGTCTAAACTGTTAAACTTAACACCAGTTAAAAGATCTTCAGACATTGTTGCTCTCAGAAGACTTTATGATGAGTGTGAGGTCCAGATCAGAGGCTTGGAAGCAATGGGAGTAGTGTCAGACACATATGGAGGATTGCTGTGCCCCATATTACTGCAAATGATCCCAGACGACCTTGCTCTTGCTTACACGCGTGAAGTAGGCTCAAACCATGAACTGCAGATTCCAGAGCTCGTTGCCTTTCTACAGCAAGAAGTTGAAAGCAGAGAGCATGCCATGCACCTGACCAAAGCAGGAAGCCACAACAAGGAATCGCAGTCCCCTAACCAGCACAGACACAGACCTGAATCAGCAAGTGGAAAGTTCAGGAAGCCAAGTCTGCCGTCAGCTGCCATGCTCTACACCAGCAGCTCACAGTCCCCTCCAGGTTGTATATTCTGTGACAGCACAAGTCATAAATCTGAACTGTGTACAGACAACACACTTAAACTGCGAAAAGAAAAGCTGAAGAAAATGGGACGGTGTTTCATATGTTTAGGACAGCGACACATGGCTAAATTCTGCAAAACAAAGGGAGTGACATGCAGTGTGTGTGGACGGAGACACCACCCCACGATGTGTGAAAAAGCTGAAACGAGTGAAACCCAGAACAGCGCTCCGGAAACAACTTAGGCTGTCATTTCATCCGTGGCCCCTCACACAGTCAAGACAAGCACAGCAAAGCAGAACACAGTTCTCCTGCAAACAGTAACAGCATTGGCAGAGGGAATACGAGGAAAGAAGAAGGTGCGTTGTCTGATGGACGGAGGAAGTCAACGGAGCTTTATCCTGGAGAAGCAGGCAAGGGCATTAGGATTACCTGTTAAGAGAAAAGAGATTTTAAAGCTCCACACCTTTGGCAGTGACACACCAGTGACTATGGAACGAAACGTTGTGAAGTTAATTCTGCAAAGCATCTGTGACAAGGAGAAAACCCTTGAGATTGAGGCTGTGGAGACGCCGCAAGTCAGCTCTGCCATCATGCAGGTTCCAGGAGAGCAAATCCAGCAGCAGCTGGAAAGAAGAGGACTGACATCAGCAGATGTCTCAGGCAGCACTGACCAGGAGCTGGAACTGTCCGTCTTGATAGGTGCTGATGTCTACTGAAAGATGGTTTCTGGCAGAGTTGAAAGACTGTCAGACACCTTAGTTGCCATAGAGACTATGTTTGGCTGGACTGTGCAGGGCCCAGTGTCCATGTTGAGCATGAGTGAAACTTCATGCATGAAGATCTGCACTGAGGAGACCATGCAGGTTTCAAAACAGCTGCGAGCATTCTGGGAAATAGAGTCTCTGGGCATCTCCTGCAAAGGTGAAGAACGAGCAGCAGACGCTGAGGCTCAAGAACACTTCAACAGGTCAGTCAGCTGCAAAGAAGGGCGATATGAAGTTAAGTTGCCATGGCATCAGGACACAACAGAGCTTCCAGACAACCTGAGAATTGCCCAGAAAAGATTTGAAGGTCTGAAAAGAAAACTGAAAGCTGATGTGACACTGTTCAAGAGATACAACGATGTGATAGATGACTATCTTCAACAAGGAATATGCGAGGATGTCCCAGAGACCAAAGACACAGCTGGAGCAGAGAATATCTACGTCCAGTACTACTTGCCTCACCATGCTGTGATAAAGGAGGACAAAGCAACGACCAAGCTGAGGGTCGTCTTCGACGCTTCTGCACATGAGGAAGGCTGTCCATCTCTTAATGACTGTCTGCTTCCCAGACCAAACCTGAACCCAGACCTCCTCAACGTCCTTGTCAGGTTCAGGTTGCACCCTATTGCATTCACGTCAGACATCACAAAGGCTTTCCTACAGATATCCGTCGCAGAAGAGGACAGAGATGTGTTGAGGTTCCTGTGGCTCACTGGACGCCCTGATGACAAGAACACAAACCTGCGCGTGCTGAGAATGGCTCGTGTGGTGTTTGGTGTGACTTCAAGTCCGTTTTTGCTGGCAGCCACAATCAGGAAGCACCTAGAAAAATACCAGGCAAGTCATCCACAGGTCATTAACACTCTGAAAGACTCCTTGTATGTTGATGACTTTATTGCCAGCTCAAGCAGTGTTGAAGAGGCTCACGTGTTGACAACAAGTGCAAAGAAAATAATGTCTGATGCCAGCATGAACCTCTGTAAGTGGACAACAAATTCACCTGAACTGAAAGCAAGGTGGCAGCAAAGTGACTTTGACTTCGCCATGAATCCTGAGACAAGCGGCTCCGTGTTAAAGGTGCTCGGCCTAGTGTGGAGGCCAGAGACTGATGACTTTGTTTTTGACCTGAAGCACCTCATGGACATTTTTAAGGACAAAGAGAACACAAAGAGGAGCGTCTTGCGCTCTTCAGCCAAGCTGTTTGACCCCATGGGCTTTCTGACACCATTCACAATCAGAGTAAAATGTCTCTTTCAGGACATGTGGCAAAGAGGCATCAGCTGGGACGAGGAGCTGCCAGATGATCTCTCACAAAGCTGGCAGCAGTGGTGTATGGAGCTCCTTCAGTTCCATCAGATCGTCATTCCCAGGTGGTATGGAACTGTCATGCTGCAAAACAGTCAAGCTCAAGTTCTTCATGTTTTCAGTGATGCAAGTGAGAAAGCGTATGGGGCAGCGGCTTATCTCCAAGGACAGACAGCTGAGGGTGAGTCCATGACAAGACTGGTCATGTCCAAGTCCAGAGTCGCACCCATTAAGAAACTCACATTGCCACGCCTTGAACTAATGGGGGCTCTGATTGCTGCGAGAATGGGGAAACAATCTGCTTCAAGCACTGAACATGCAGCCGAACCAAATCCGAATGTGGACGGACTCCATGATTGTAATTCACTGGATTTCCAGTTCACCGCACAGATGGAAACAGTTTGTTGCCAACAGAGTGATGGAGATTCAGACCCTGACCCCAGCGGAAACCTGGTCCCATTGCAGTGGGAAACTCAACCCAGCCGATCTCACTACAAGGGGCCAGACAGTCACCAGGCTGAAGGAAGAGGAGCTTTGGTGGTCAGGGCCACAGTTTCTGACTTCAGCAGCGCAGCATGAGTCTCCTGATGAAAGGCTCTGTGAAGAGGAAGTAAAGACTGAGCTCAGACCAAGTCATGTCACAGTCCAGCTCAACAACATGGAGCAAACATCTACAGATCCACTGTTACAACTGCAAAACTACAGTAAGTTGAGAACATTTTTCAGAGTCACAGCATGGATTCAAAGATTCACGCACAACTTACGCTCACGTGAAAAGAGACAAGGAGAGCTGACAGCTGAGGAGTTGGCTGAAGCTGAAAGATACTGGATTCTGCAGGCACAAAATCAAGGTTTCCAGAGAGAGAAAGGTGAATTAAAGGCAGGAAAAGACATTCACAGAGGCTCGAGAATTAGAGATCTGAAGCCATTTCTGGATGAGCACGGTCTGATCTGCCTCGGAGGAAGACTACAGCACTCAGACATGAGCTTCGGTGAGCAGCATCCATACATCCTGCCTTCAGACCATAGACTCTCTGAAATGCTGATCAGCTGCTGTCATGAACAAGTGATGCATTCAGGTATGAGAGACACTTTAATGCAACTAAGAGACAAATATTGGATTCCACGAGCCCGACAAATGACAAAGACAATCATTGCAGCCTGCACTACATGCAAAAGATTCAGAGTAAAGGCAATGCAGCAGACGACAGCACCCTTGCCCAGAGATTGTATAACAGAAGCACCTCCGTTTGAAACTGTTGGAGTGGACTTTGCCGGCCCTCTGTTTGTCAGGGTTAAAAAGGACAAAGTGGAAAAGGCATATATAGCACTGTTCACCTGTGCTGTGACAAGAGCAGTCCACCTGGAGCTGGTCTCCGACATGTCAACAGAAACATTCCTCCTGGCATTCAAAAGGTTCATATCCAGACGAGGCCTATGTAGGACAGTGTATTCAGATAATGCACGCACCTTCAAACGAGCAGATCAAGACATCAGAGAGCTCTGGAAGAGCATCAAGGAGCCTGAGCTCTTAAGGTATTTCACAGAAAAGGGCATCAAATGGAAGTACATCGCAGAGCGAGCCGCCTGGTGGGGGGGCTTTTGGGAAAGACTGGTGAGATCAGTTAAAACATGTTTAAAGAAAGTGATGGGAAGAGCTTCACTGAGCTTCGAGGAAATGACGTCTCTACTGGCAGAAGCAGAAGCAACAATAAACTCACGACCACTTACCTTTGTTTACAACGAACCTGAAGAGCCTAAGCCCCTCACTCCAGCTCACTTTCTCATTGGAAAGCGACTCGGCTCCCTGCCACCCAAACCCTTTCATGCTGCCAGTCGCACCGCCAGCTCCAGCAAAGAGGAGCTGACACGGAGATGGAAATACCGCCAGCGTCTTCAAAATGACTTCTGGACTCGATGGAAAAGGGAGTACTTACTGGAGCTGAGATCTGCCCACACCACGAAGAATTCACATTCTACCGCTCTCAAGGAGGGAGATCTGGTGCTCATCGGGGAGGAGAGGACACCGCACCAGATTTGGAAGACTGGGATCGTCCAACAGCTCTTTCCAGGAAGAGATGGGCTTGTGAGATCGTGTGCTGTACGCACATCAGACAGGACAATATTAAGAAGACCAGTTCAACTGTTGTACCCCCTGGAGCTTTAATTCCAAGAACTGTCTTCATGGGGGGGAGGATGTTGTATCCTTGGTTCAGTTCATGATTGATGTTCAAGTGGGATTGGGTATATACAGGATTCAGTTGTGTGATATGTGGTGTGTTGCAGTGTGAGACCACGGGGTGGCGCTCATTCATTTGCATGTTAGTAAAACAAGAGATCTTCCCGGGCAGTTAGTAGCCGATGTGAGTTAGTAGCCGATGTGATTAAGTTAGCCGATGTGATGTATCATGGATGCATGTTTTCGTCAGTAAAAACCCTGGAACGACATTGAGGAGTCCTGTTTCATTTTTATAGAAGTTACAGCTAAGTTCCCACACCCACAGAAGAGCTACTGTGGCACAAATTGCTGAAAAAGTTGATGCTGATGCTGCAGGCAGTGTGATGTTTTGGGTAATATTCTGCTTGGGTCCTGCCATTCATGTGGATGTTACTTTGACATGTACAACCTGCCTAAACACTGCTGCAGACCAAGTCCTCTCCTTCATGGAAACGGTATTCCCTAATGGCAGTGGCCTCTTTCAGCAGGGTAATCCGCCCTGCCACACTGTAACAGTGGTTCAGGAATGGTTTGAGGAACACAATAACGAGTTCAAGGTGTTGACTTGGCCTCCAAATTCCCCTGTTCTCAATCCAATCAAGCATCTGTGGGATGTATTGGACAAACAAGTCTGATCCATGGAGGCCTCACCATGCAACTTACTGGACATAAAGGATCTGCTGCTAACGTCTTGGTGCCGGATACCACAGCACACCTTCAGAGGTCTTGTGGAGACCATGCTTCAAAAGGTCAAAGCTGTTTTGGCAGCAAAAGGGGCTTGTGGCTGTTGAGTGTACATACATACATACATACGTACATACATACATACCTTCCTTCCTTCCTTCCATTCTTTAATGAAAGTGCCAGTGTGTCAATTACAGTTTCTGAGAGAAAATATATCATTTACATTAATACACTAATCTGTAAAATAGTAGATATATAATTCATTAATTGATAGAAAAGTTGTCATTAGTGGCAGCCATACAAATGTTTACCAGAGGTGCTGAAAACAAACAAACAAACAAACACGGGTGAAAACATAACCTCCTTTACCTGGATTGGTCCTGATACTGATACTAAGGGGTTCAGTTGGAAGTAGTGGACAGTTTGGGAAAGGACTAGGGTTTTAAGTCTCTGTTCTCTTCTAGGGTCATAGAGGAGGAGCTGAAGGACGTACCCTCAGAGGACGTCCCACCCCTCACTCCACTGGCTGTGAAAGTGCAGACTGAGCAGGAGCAGAAGGTGGTTAGCCAGCTGAGCAAAATGGTCCGCATCATTGGTGACAGAGTGCAGGGCGACATGGAGCTCCAAGAGTGAGTTTCTCAACCACTTTATCTCAGAGATCATGGTAGAATACTAAAAACTTGTATGACACCTTTTTTAAACATAAACTGTCCCTGTCTTCATTTATGTCTCTGCTGCAGTGCAATAGATGGAGTGGCACAATGCTCTGGTTCCATGGGGGACAGATTTACGGAAGTGGCACACCAAGTGTTTGAACATGGGATCACCTGGGAGAAGATCGCTGTGCTCTTCTATGTTGCTGGCAGGCTGGCTGTCAGGGTGGGTGATCAGACCAGAATGGGTCATGGGAAGATCTGAAGTGGCATTTGTTATGACCCTCGTTTTCTCAAGTTTTTAATTGTTTTTGTTAAATGATGATTTGCAAGGATCACCTGTCCATTTAACAATGTGGGTAGTGTTGTGACTTGCTTTACAATGAGGAAGGTCTGTTCAGCTGTAATGATATCGTTACTCAGGCTACCTTTACTTTTTCACTTTCAATTGCCCACATGGTACAAAAACCTCCTACTTTGAGTAGTATGATAGAGACTGACAGGGAACTGAGTTCTGCACATGCCACAAACTGTGACTGAGAACTGATAGATAGATAGATAGATAGATAGATAGATAGATAGATAGATAGATAGATAGATAGATAGATAGATAGATACTTTATTTATCCCCTAGGCAGTGATGTTGATAGGTTTTCAATGTAGTGAGTCCCCGGGACCCACAGGTGGTGATTTGAGTGGGTCCCTGGGAAATTCAATGGGTCCCATATAAATTTTTTTCATTTCTTATATTTTTCTATTTCTTAAATTGTAGTGTTAAACTCCTTTGATGGTGGTATGATATGGTTATAATTAACGGATATATTCATGTATGTTCAAAATGTATCTGAAATTAAACAAATAAGATTCCAAATCTGAAAAGTTTATTGCAAAACAACTGTCACAGTGGCATGACATACAAAATTCAAATAAAATAGCATTTTTGTAGCAACATAAATAGCACTAAAATAAATTACTAAAATTCAAATGAAAACAAAATGGTGTCTGTAGTACCAAAATAAATTATCAATAAAAGTGCTGATTTTAACACATAAACAAAACATTCTCATCACCATGACAGAGTCAACAAATAAATTTTCACCAAAATAAGACCAAAATCTTCTTGTTTGAACATCAGCTAAATCAAATTTAGTTTTATTTATTTCATTACAGCACGTCCCCAAGACGTTAAAACATTGTCGACATGAGTGAACACAGCATCGAGCAGTGGAAACATGAGTTTATTTACTACTATGAAGTTCGTATCTTTAATTGTTGAAATGAAATCCGCGGTGACTGGCTAATTGTTGTGGTAGTGGCTAAACTAGCATGTCGTGATACTGTACACGGGGATCACGTCTGCGCGGAGTAGATGCGCAGAGGGTTGAAACAGCGCTTGCCTGGTCTGCTGACAGCGAAGTTACTTTTGCTAGTTACTGTGATTTTAAACACAAGTTGTTGTTCACAATGTTTCGTTTTTCATGGGAAAAATGAGTTGCGTCCCTGGGATGCATGGATAGTGAGTTCACTGCGTCCTTTCAGATTTTAATGCGTCAGGGACGCAGGACGCGTACCTAGCAACTTCACTGATGTTATGTCCTCAAAGTGCTGTGAATAATGTATTGTCAAGTAAAACCAAACCAGTTGCAGCCTACAGATGAATTTTATCTATAATAATATTAAAATAATATTATAATAAAAAAATAATATTATCCCTTTAAATCCAAGCAAACCCAGCTTCTTGAGAAGTTTCCTCTAAATTAACGTTACATCATCATGTATGTTTTTTGTTTTTTTTGCAAAAATGTCTCAAATCACAGATTATTTTAAAAAGAGAAATCGCAAGGACAGGTGAAACAGTGCAGAGTGCAGATATAATTAGTTCTTCTAATATGGGAAAAAAGTTAATTTATGCTACTGACGAGATACGACTAATGTGTCAGGACTGAAAGTAGGCCTAGTTCTCAGCCACAAGTGGAAGGTGGAGGAGAGGATCAGAGCGCGAGAGAGGATTAAAGGCGAGAGTACCAAGTCTTTAGGAGTGTATTAAAGCTGATGTTTATTTATTTTTATTTTACAACCCTGATATACTAATATATACAAATATATTGCAGAAAAACTTGCTGCCACTTGTTGCCAGTGCATCATTTGAAACGGCCAGTATTTTGTCATTTCAGTTTGCTTCCAGTGCACTTGCAGTATTTTATAATGTCTGGCATTTCCATTTAGGTATTTTTTTTAGATGCAACAAACAGGTGCATGAAAAGCACTTCATGTTGTAGCTGATTTCCAATGATTCTACAATTTAACTAAAAATCAAATCCCTAGTTTAGCACCATCTTCACTTAGTGTATAAACCTTGTGTTTGTATGTCCCGCAGATGGTGGAAGCTCATCTCCCTCAGTCGGTGAGGGAGATCCTGATGTGGACTGTGGATTTCTTCAAAAACAACCTCCTGAACTGGATTCGGGAACATGGAGGATGGGTATGTCTTATTCCATCTTTCTTTCAGATCACTTTCCTCTATCATGTCTGCATGTGTGCTCACTGGAATGTTGTAAGAGCACTGAGATTTTTGGTCATTTAATCTCTATTTTTTATAATATGATTATATAGAGATTATATAGCAGATTAGATGAAGCTATATTTATTTAATTTGTTTCAGTGTAATGGAGAGTTCTGTATGGTATGCAGGTGCTATTCACAGAAGTCAGTGATAGATGATATCTAATATGGCAGTGGGGATAATGTAAGCCTGAGCATTAGGGGGAGATACCCACAGATAAGTGCTCTGTCCTTTTTAATTGCTGCCGAAATTGATTGTTATTAAATTAGATTTTAATATTAAATTCATTAAATTTCAGTGAATTGTGTTTTAAACGCACAGTATGTAACTTCTGTTGCTAGAAGTCTCTCAACTAAACCAACAACAAAAGACGGCATTGGGTGACATAGTAATATAGCATGGGATCATGGGAGTTGTTGTTTTCACCACCATTGCCATCGGTTTCTCCTGGTTTGGATTCCTTCAAGAGGTTTTTACCAGCAGCTGAAGTATGCACAGAGGTGTCCTCTCCACAACAAACGTAGGGGGATTAAAACAGCTACAAGCAGTTTAAGCCTTAATAAAATTGGAGTGACTTATATGAAAATTCTCCCCCATACAGTTGGCATGAAGGAGGAAATTAGCTATAGAGACCAGACTGTTTTTGTACCAGGCTGTTAACATGTTTATTTCTGCTGTAAAGTTGGACATTTTAACATGGGAGTCTATGGGGATTGACTCACTGTTGGAGCCAGGTTGGTTCACACTTACTGAAACAGCAAGATTTTACTACCCTAGAGAGAAAATCAGGATTGCTCATTAGATTTCTTTTTGATTGTCAACGCTCATTAATTGACCATTGAACATTAACCATTAACTGTTAACGGATAACATCAAAATGTATTTACAATAGAAAAGTGTCTGTAAACTAAGAGTGTGTTGTGTATGCAGAATAATAGCCTCTCCTGTGTCTGGAAATATTGAATAACTTGAATAGTAAATAGGAGCCAGAGTTTGGAATGTATAAACTGATTAACAAAACAAAAACACACATAACATTCTCCAGCACCTAGAGCACTGTAACAAAAACCTCCTCCTCCTCAATCTCATCTTTCTCTTCCTTCTCCTCCTCCTCTGCTCTCAGCTGATTAATGATCACAGGCAACAGGTTCAGGTCAGGTTAGTCTGGTTTGTTAACTGTAAGACAGGTGGTACAGATGCCCCAGTTTATTTTAACTGTTAAATTGATAGTATTAATCTTAATATTCTTATTGTAGGTTCATGTTAAGTGATGAACAACACTAGTGTAAAAGAAGCCTATTTTCTGTTTGCCAGGTTCTATTCTATTTAACTCAATAGCTCATAAACCCTGAATTCTTCTCTTCATTCCAGTGAGACACAAGCACAGCTGAGTTGTTTGCAAACTGTAGAGGAACAAAGAACTTCAGTTGCTGCTTTCATGTCATTAATGTAAAGCAAAGGACATCCTAATGAGTGTGCGTGTGTTCATGTCCACAGATCAACAGTTTCTCAGAGCTGGCGATGGCTTCCATGCAGAGCATTTCATTCATGAGCTCTCAGAGAGTGCCGCTTGTCATCATCTTTATTGCCGGCCTGGCTCTTGGAAGCTTCATCACCTGGAAACTGACCAGATGACTCTTGAGAAACACGTGCACACTCACATATACACCATAATGATAAGACTGTAATTTTTTTTACCTGAGGGTTTATCATTCTGTCCAGATGCCATCATGTCCTGATCACTTGTTGCCATAAGATGGTTTAAACATATGCTTGTAAATGGGTCTCACACATACACTCCACTTTTCTACTTTTGTAATGTTATCTATGCAAAACATGAAAACTTGAAAGAGACAACACTATGTCAAAGATAGTCACATATTTTCATAATCATCAAAGACGTACCGTATCATGTTAAAGAGATACTCTGCTTTCAGAGTAATTATGAGACTGAAACAGGTTTAATCATTCCTCTTTTTCATACTGGCCATTAGTGTTATCACGTTATATCTGCAACAATGCAGTTAATTCAGTCATAACAATTAACATTCTGATTAACAGCTGATGGATTGCGGGTGTGTGTGTGTGTGTGTGTGTGTGTGTATATATATATATATATATATGAGGAACACAAATTAGATTCTGTGTTTGGATGCTGCACTCATTATGATTTATTATTTATCCTGGGCAGCAGCCAAATGTTATTATGAGCTTTTAAACTTTTTGTGTTTAGGAAGAAGAATTTAAATGTCAGACTGTTTTCAGGCTGTTGTGGAAAAACGTGCTGCCATTTTCATTTAACTTAAAAAAACTTTTACTTTAAACAAATGTTTGTTTATTTAAAAACAGCCTACTTCTGTGTAATATGTTACCATATCACCACATGTATTATCCCACAGAGAAATAATAGTAATGTGTGATGGTGGAAAATTATTGGTTTTGATGGGTGGTGGGTGAATGATTCACACATACATGTGGATACAGATGACATAAGAGCCGATCCGCACATCACTACTGGCCATTAAGAAATCCCCTCCTAATGTACTTTCAGTGTAGTTTTCTTTAAACCATGCCAGTAGAAATGTCTGAACAGTGAAGTCCATTTATGAGTGGAAGTACATTTACTTTTATTGAATAGATTTAGTACTTTCCTACTGCACTGAAGCTTTAGTGCTGTTCCTCACTTGTTGCTTTGGATAAAAGCGTCTGCCAAATGAATAAATGTAAATTTACTAACAGATGCTGTCATGAAACCAGACACAAAAATTGCATGGTTTATTGGATTGTCGCCATTTCTTTATTCTTTTGTCTTTTTAGTCTTTGGAACGTGGTGCTGTTAAAGTGGTGAAATCATGGTGCAAATATGAATGCCTACAAGAATCCCTTTATTCAACTGTTTTAGGGGTTTGTCAGTTTATTTGCACAAACACAACAGTTATTTGTGACTACTGCCTTAATGCAGTCTCCGTCTTGATGCCATGTCCTGATATATGAAGTCCAGACAATATCCAATGAAGGAACCTTAGAACTTGTTAGTGAGTGAACGGTCAATTTTCACCAAAGATGGAGACAAAAATAAAAAACAAGGGTATTGCAGGACTGCCACCTTAAAGCCTCAATCTGTCAGATTTATATTTAAAGTGAAAGAGTGCTCCTTTGTTCTGGCAATTTTATAGCAATAGCAGTTAAATATATGAACCGAGTTTACATCAGTTCTGTTTTGATTTCATGTAATTATTCAGTGTTAATGTTTTGTCATTTTGTAAGAGAAAAAAAACAGAGACTAAGAACAAAATTAACATTGCTTTATTTTCTCAAGTAGTAGCAAACGTAAACAGCAATATTTCTTAAATCACTTTTATGGAATATAATTGATTATTGAAATATAAAATAAATAAAAGAAACAAAAACAGCATTGTTCTGAACAGATCACTATTATAGACTGATTTTGTAATGATGGAAATGTACAAAAGATGGAATAAACAATGATTTACCCCCCACCCCACCCCGCTCGGATTGAGTCTAAAATTAATGAATGAATGAATTTCAGAATAACAATAGCACCTATAACAATCAGCTGGCTAATGGTTACTTTTCATCATTAACCCATGTTGGTATAATTTTGTGTGTAGCTCCAGGCTGCAACATACAAAACATTTTCAGGTAAAAGAAGATGAACTATGAGCCAGGCGGTTGAAAACTTTTGCAATATGTTTCGTTAGATTGATCGTGATCCACCCTTACATTGCATAAGACTTAACCACAGTTTTGTAAGTTTAGTTCTCTTGCTTGTCACTAAGAACAGGGTCTGTGTGTGTGTACGTGCGTGTGTGTGGACGTGTTGCACGGTGAGCTGCAAAGAGAGGCTCTGAACCTCTCTTCTGATTGGCAGCGGTCTCTCTACATAGAGTCTGCAGGTTACTGGAAGGTTGGATTTCTTTTAATTATAAATGAATTTCTTTTTTTTTTCTTGACAGAAAATGTCAGTAAAAATGCCACTGTCTCCAAATGCAGCTGCTGAAATGGTTAAAAAATATAATTATATTTTTATTGGACTGTGTCATATTAAGATTTAGTCTAGACATAGAAAGGTGGAAGCTGCTATGATGTCAATATGACATCAACAGGTCTTTTCTCTGTCTATTTTTGCTGAAAGACAAGACGTGTGAAAAATAGGCAAGACGCTGAATCTAGATCTCGCAGGCGTGAGGTGTGTCCTCTAACCTGCTGACATGGGCGCCGAAATAGAAACCAAGATGTTCCACAGCCGGCATGCAAACGCCATCCAGTGTGTTGTTGGCCTAAGGCTCATTTTCTGTGTGCATTTTTCTGTGGACCGAGTGTTTTGATACTTTCACAGTATTAATATAGAACCTAAACCTGCTTTATAATTAAACAACACATGGACATCTACCTTTATACTATATGGGACCTTCAATTTCTCCAGTACCAAGAGCAGAACCAATTACGTCACAGCTTCTTAATACTACAGTCTTTAATAATTTATCCCTAGGAGTGTTTAATACCAGGTTTCGCTACCATTCATAATAGGCAATAAGTAACAGTGAATGTCACTACAGAAATGCCAAACTACTTTTGAGGTCATTTAGAAACAGCGTCACCATTACATATAAGTGACAAGAATGACCGAGTAAACCCATCAGAATTTTCTGCCTTAATGTAAACATATGTCCATATCTCAATATGACCAAATCTTCATCTAAATTATGAATTAAAATATAAAGTGTTGTTCATAATTCTAACATAAATCATTGTATTGGTCGTGTCCATATACCCACTAGAATAAAGTAGACTATAATACTGTACACATACACATGCACATACAAGCACACACGCAGTGCTGATTTCATCTGTTTTTCTACATTGAAGGATGACGCAGCAGTAGAGCTCCAAATAGAGCTGGTTTTGCTTGTTTTGAGGACGTCTCCCCATTCATTCTCTATAGGAATTATTTTGCCTTTCATCGCCATTTATGTTACCATGGTTACTCAAATCCCTTAGAAAAGTCATAGCATTCCATTCCTGATTGTGCCGCACACATTGATATATATATTGTCTGGGTTTTCTCAAAACTGCGGGACTAGTTACCCATCGAAATTTCGTTATGGAAGATGAATAAGATGAACTAGAAAAGTGCCACGGGGGCTACTTCCAGGATGAGTACATGATTTATTTCCAGTGTTCAAAAGTCACCCTGATCATATTCTGGTTTTGAGAAATGTCTTGATATAAAAGACTCTGATATAAAACAATGTCACATCCCTCCATCATGTATTATGTGGGAAATATCTCATATTCTGTGCTGTTTTTTTTAATAAAACAAGAGGCAACATGTCTTAAAACTGGCATTTAAAGGGTTAAAATCCTGAAAACTAATAAACATTTGGTAGGTTTGAGCAGAACTGAAGTGGTTTAAGAGATGTATGCAAAAAAAAAAGCAGAAAAAAATATTGATATATGATGATTTTATAGCATTTTCTTTGTGTGTCCTTTTTTGGACGCGAGGAACCCCAGAGGGTACAAAATGTGTTACCAGTGTACAATAGACCTGTAACAGTAACTGACATTAGATTTTAAAAAATATGTCGAAAAAGACACTTTTTTGCAGAAATCCATACCTTCAGCTGTAACACAGCCAAAATGATCAGCAAATCAAAAAAGAAAAGTGAAGAAAATGTCCAAAAAAGGACAGATGGACCCCTGAGGGTTAATAAATCCCATGAACCGCTATTTAAATTACCACTATTATGTTTTTTTCTGTGCTAAATTTAACATTACTGGGGAGGAGAGCAACGCGACTAGAAAAAAAGGACAGATGGACCCCTGAGGGTTAATAAATCCCATGAACCGCTATTTAAATTACCACTATTATGTTTTTTTCTGTGCTAAATTTAACATTACTGGGGAGGAGAGCAACGCGACTAGAAGTGACAGCGAGAGAGGG